GTGTGTGGGGACGGGTGCTGACCTGCACCCCCCAAACGTATGCCATCACTATGGCAACCGGGCCCCAACCAGCAACTTCCTTTGGCCTCGCAATCATATTCTCACACCTGCTGATGCTGTAATTTTCCATCGCAGGACCTTTAGAAGCCTCACACACACAAAAAGTCACAGCTGCTATTTTCACACAGGCCTCCTTCATGCCAGGTCCTTCGTTCGCTCTGTCTTGAACCCTCTCAATCATCTGCAGCCCCATTTCACAGATGCAGAAACTGAGGGTCAGAAAAGAGCCCACAGCTGGGGTTTCGACCTAGATCTGGGCCGCCAATCCGAGTTCTTCCCACTTTACCACTGTCGTCTCAGCGTGTTTTGTTTTTTTTTGTTTTTTCTTTTCTTTTTGGGTTGTCCCCTCTTCATTGCGTGGCCGGGCCCAATGACTAAATGAAGGTCTGGAGCGGGATTTCTCAACCTTGGCCCCATTGACCTTTTGGGCCAAATAAGCCTCTCCTGTTGCAGGGAAGATGCTGTCTGGTGTATTATAATTATTTAGCAGCACCCCTGGTTTCTACCCACTAGATGCCAATAGCATCACCTCTCTCCCTTGGTGACAACAAAAATATCTCTAGACATGGCCAAACGTTCCCTGGGAGGAAAAACAGCTCTGCAGTTGAGAATCACTGCTTTGTAGAAATAAGGGGTCAGGGTCAAGTTAGTTATAGCCTGATTTCCCCATATTAGACCGGGAGCAGCTGGAGGGCAGGAAGAGGGAACCATTTCATTCACTGCTGTTGCCCACACCTAGTGCAGTGCCTGAGCGAATGATATCCATGGACATGGTATGTTTCAGATGAAGGCCTGAGGGCCTCGGTTCTGACCTAGATCCTCACCACCCTGCTCTGGGCTGGTCTGAGTCATATCGCCTCTCCTTTCTGGGCCTCGGTCCTCTCTGTGCTCTCAAATGAGGGTCATCACAGGCCCTGAGGGCCCTGGACGTTTGGGGTCTGGGGCTGGCCATGCTGCCCCTCAGAGGGCCAGAGGCCCAGAGGCCCAGAGTCCAGGGGCCAAGAAGGGGCCGCCTCCCAGGCCAGACACTGCAGATCTGCCCAGTCCTCCTGAGCTTCTCCTTGTTCTTGCCCTTCAACTCAAGTCAGTCACTGAGAGACAGTCAAGTGCTGCGCAATGCACCGCCCCCCACCCCCGCCCTGGCGAAAAGCAACCCTGTGCAGGAGGGGTGGCTTCTTTTTTTGGGTGTGTGTCTTAGAAGGAAAAACATGTAACCTCAAAGGTAACCAAATATCCCAATCGTGATGCCCAGCATCGCACACCCCAAACTCACCTATTCATGAGCTTAACAAAAAGCTTCTTTAGGACACACTGTAAGGCCATTGAGAGGGAGCAAAGTCACCTCTCGCAGGCCCAGGCCAGCCCGCAGGGCCCGCCCTCCCCACGCGCGCACACGCACACGCACACACACACACAGACACACACACACACATCCAGCTGCTCACAAGGAGGCTCTGAGTTTTTAAAAGCAAACTCCACCGTTTCCGTTCTTGCCCTGGATTCAACTTTTGAAGAAAGGAAGCGTTTTACCGTTCCCTACACATGCCCCCTCTCTCTGGTCCTCCCCTTGCCTACCCCTCCAGCAGCCCGTTCTCGCCAACTCATCTTCAGCTGTGCCCCGGGGCTCAGACCCCCTCGCAGGGACGGAGGTGTCCTGTCGTGTCTGGGGGACGGAGAGCAGCCACCCCTGGAGGAGATGCCACAGAGACAGCCCTGTCGAGCTGGGCTTCCTTAAGGAAGGAGGGTGGCAGTGAAGCTTCCATCGGGGCTCAGCATGGCCAATGGCCAAGGACAGCCCGTGACGCTCCCGTTTCCAAGATGGGTTGCACCCACTGCCCCCTTCCCCAGGGCAGCCCCTTAGCTCTGTCCCCTCCCCTGCTCCACTTGCAAGCAGGCCTGTCCGCCACACCTCGCTTCTCCCCTGATTCTGGGTCCTCTCCCTCCAACTCCCCATCACCCCTGACTGCCTTCACTCCCAAGACAGGTAAGGGTCCAGCCCAGGTGTTAGCGCAGTGCCTACCACCTGGAGCCACGAGGCAGGAATTTCTCAGAGACAGAAACATCATGAGGATCAATGTCTCTTCAACGTTCTTGACCACAACCGGCAGTAAGAAACACATTCTACAAACGGCAAATTTGTATATATGTGTGTATGCACATATGTATTAGAAACATACACACACTGACATAGGACTGCAAAATATATAACAGAGATAAGAGTTTCCAGAAACAATCCTTATCCTTACTACATGGGTGGCCCTGTGAGATTATGCTCTCCTGTGTGATAAAACCCCACTAAATTGGTTTCCCAACCTGCAAGGGACAAATCTGGAGTTAGCAGTTCCTGTGGGGGCAGAGACGGACTACAAGTGACACTTCCACCGGGGGGCCTGCCGGCTTCCCCTGGCTCAGCTGAGGTCCTCCTAATGTCCAAAAAGAAGGGCCTTGGAAGGGACCAGGTTTTAGGAGGCATCGCGAAAAAAATCTGCCCCAAATGCTGGGACACACAATCTCTTACGAAAAGAAGAGTCAAAACTGGTACCATCCTGAATTTACAATTGGTGACCCCAAGGGGGCCTAGGAACCGTTAGAAGAAAGGAATTAGAGATTTGTGGTTCCTGCTGACAAGATGCCCACATTATGTCTTTCAATCCTCGGGTTTCCTCTCCTTTTAAGAGAAGAGGAAGCTGAGTCACGGGGTAGCTAAGTAACACCACCCAACTCTTGTAGCAGGTAAGTGGCCCAGCTGGGATCCGACCCCAGATCTGACTCAACAGACAGGCTGTTTATTCTCGGGGCTCTTCCCCGCCGTCTGGGGAGGTGAGCCCTCCCTTGGAGCTCTCTCTCCGCCTGGGAGCTGGACAGGCTGTTCTGGGCATGTGAGGATGACGATTGCCCCATTTCAGCAGGCAGGTATGTGTGAGATAGCAAACAGGAGCACAGTATGGGTCAGGTGCGGCTCATGCCAGGCGCTGCAGGATCTCACCACTCAAGCCCACAGAGAGCGCAGCCAAATAAGTAATAACATTTCCATGATCCCCCCTACCCCCGTCCGCCCATATTATTTATTCCTGCCTTGGCCAGAGTGCTTTCCCATACTAAAGAATCCCAATTTAAGCATGCTTTTCCTTGAAAATTACAGGAAAAGAAAACCTTTTACATAATATTAGTAACATCGAACAGTTATTGAGTACTTGCCTGGTGGCAGCAGGTACTACATGCTGCGCGCTTTGCTTGGGTCACCGCAAGGCTACTGTTCACTGAGACCGGGCGGGGGCCAGCGCTGAGCAGAGCCGGCCACCTAGGTGGCGCTCAGTAGATACCAGAGACTGAATGAGCCTATCAGTGCCGCTCTAGAAACTGCCCATGAATGCATCTAATTTAAACACAATACTGTGTAACTGGAGGAATTCCCGACATTTCTCTGAGAGGTATTTTCTTTTGATGCTTTCTTCATCCAAAACTTTTTAAACGTGAGAGGTCTTTGGATTTGCAATTTTTTCTTTCAGGTTAGAAACATTCTCCCCCATCTCACTCCACCACGCCCAACAAGCCTTGGAGTTTCCTCCCCCATTGCCCTGCCATTCCTGGGCAGTGTCTTCCCCTGCTCAGTGATTCATAGGCCAACACTCCGACGCGCATGTTCACGGCGCCTCCGAAACCCCTTGCCGAAGGGCAGGGCCCGGCTCCTTCTCCTCAGCAACCCAGAGGGCAAGGAAGAGAGACAAGGATTGAAGCCCAGCCTTTTGCCCTCTTAAATCGGGGTTGCCCCTAAGTCACAGGGCGACGGTTAGAAAGTCATCACACGTTTCTGGGTTCCCTTTCCCTCATCATGAGATGAGATGGGTGTGTGTCCAAGGTCCAGGGTCTCTGACACTGTCGGACACCCACCCACTACAGCGTCCAGGATCAGAAACCCCACACTAAACCAATTCAGCTTTCCACCTTCCTTCTCTTCCTCCTGGTAGCCACCCCCATAGAACGGGAATTTACGCATCAACCCAAACGCAGGGACCTGAGATCCTTATGGGCCAAACCCTGGAAGAATCCCACCAGAATCCCGCTCACGACTGCAAGGAAGAGGACGATGGAAAAGTTTGGGTTGGATCCGATCTCCCAACAGGAGACAATCCCACCGCCAGAGTTTGTTCTGGCCTGGGATGTGGGTGTGTTGACATATTGACAGCCACCCACTCAACGCTAGGGTTCCCGCTCTGCCATCACTGGCTTCCTCCGCAGAAGAACCCAGGGATGGAAAAACTGCCCTGGGCCTCGTGTCCTCATCTCTCCTGCTCTTCCCTGAGAAATGCACCTTCTTGGTGGCAGATTCAGAGCACTGCTCAGGTCTCCTTGCGGGCAGCTCTGCCGGTTCCTTCCAGCTTTCCAGGTGCCCCGTGGCTCCCTGGACTAGGCCAAATGGCCAAGGAAGTGGGTCCCGAAGGGTTCTCGGTGCCTCTCTCAGGCACCTGCTGTATACCTGACGCACCGCCCCGGTCCCTTAGTACATTTCCCAGCCTGGCGGCCTAGGCGCCCCCTCCCCACGGACAGCGCGCACCCAACGCTGAAGACGAAACAGCGCCTCCCGCTCGCCAGTAGCACCGCGAGAGTTGAGCCCCCATTTCCCGCACTCGGAAGCCGCGGCTCTGCCCGCTATGGCTCCTCTCAGGGACCCCGGGACTCCACACACCGGACTAGGCATACAAGCTCCTTGTTCTCTATCCTTTAATGCTGGGAGTCAGGGGACCAGAGACTCTCCTCGCCTGTTCCTTCTGCGCTCCCTTCGCTGCGAGTCTGCAGCAGCCAGAAAGTTTGCTCGACTCCACAGCTGTGAGTTCGCGGCCCCCGGCACACCCCTCCCCGTGGGGAGACTGAGGCAGCGCCGCGACCAGCGCAGAGGGGCGCCCTGGGCAAGCCTCCCTCGGAGGGAAGGAGACAGTTACCTTGAAGAGTTGCGCTCCCTGCTCCAAGAACTTCCGTCGGTACACCTAGCGAGGCGGCGGGGGCTCCTGGGCCCGGGAGGCCCGTTCTCGCGGCGCCGCGGGGAGACGCTCTGCGCGGGCGCCGCGCACCGTGCTCCTGCCCGCGTCCTGCCCGCAGGTCCCTTCAGGCGGTGGCCGCAGCGGCGGAGGCTGGCTGGCGGCGTCCCGGCTGACTGAGAGAAGAAGGGACACTGAAAGGTGCCCGGAGTCCCCTGGCACCCGCGTCAGAAGCCGGCCGGCGAGGTGCGGAGAGAGACCTTGAGCAGCGCGGCGCGTCCTCAGCTCTGCGAGCCCCTCAGGAGCGGCGGGGAGGTAGGTAGGTGGGCGGGCGAGCGGGCATGGCGCGCGGTGACACATATACACGGGGCGGGCGGGGAGGGGGCGCGCGCCGAGGGAAACCCCACCCCCGGGGGACCCGACAAGGGAGGGGCGGGCGGAGGCGTCTGGCGCTCTCTGGACCCCGGCTCCGGGCCGGCGGGCGCGTCGCGGGGGAAGCCGCCGGGCGCGCAGGGCGCGGGAGGAGCGCTCCCGCCGCGGCGCCGACCCGCAGCTCCGGGCCCGCGGGAGGCGGGCGGCGCGGGAAGGGCTGAGGGCCGGTGTCTGCAATGCGGTCGGCAGCTCCGCAGTCGGAGGGGCGCCGGAGGGTTGCATCCGCTCAGCTGCCTCCAGCGGGCCGGGCGGCCGCAGCCGGACGGGGCGCCCGGGCGTCCCGCGCCGGGGCTGCGGCTGAGGCGGGGCAGACGCGGCCCCCTCCTCGCAGGCTCCGTTGCGCAGGGACCCTCCTGAGGAGGTGGCTGAAAGTTTTGGAGATGGGGTGCGCCGGCTGGCAGGGTAGAGCGTGGAGAGGAGGAGGAGGTTAGGCGGCAGCGGGAGGTACCATGGGGCTGGGAACCAACCTCAGGGCTTCGACACTCAGAAGAGGAGACCAAGGGCATCTCCAAGGAAGCAGGAGCCCTCCTGGAGCTTCAGAGATCCCCACCCCCGGCCCCAATCTTGTTTCCGGGCCAAAGAGTAAAAGAACTAACAGCTTTTGAGCACCTTCTGTGAGCTGGTTGCTTAACATACGTTAATATCTAATTTCATTTTCCCAATGAAGTTACTGTTCCAACGCCTCCCTCCCAAGACGTGAAACTGGGGCTCAGAGAGCGATGGCGCTGCGTACTCAGGGTGGGGTCTGAATTCAAACTCAAGGTCATGCTCTCTCTGCTACACAGGCTGCTGGCTCAGCCGCAGCACTTTTGGGGGGACCCAGGCTGGCGGGTGGTCTTCGGCGTCCTTATGGGGAAAGGTGCCTGGAGCTAGGATTTAGTGGCCACCTTCAGTGTGGCAGAAACTGATCGACCCCCTCATTGGGTGAGGACTGAATGAAGAACAAGAAGTGGGATATTTGAGGGGTGCGCATTATGGAGATGATAGACCAAGTTCTTCCTTGATTAAAAGGAACCGCAGTGCCTCAGTTTCCCCCCGGTGACTACTCTGGGATTGGGTGGGTATTTTACTGGTCATCTCTGCCAGGGGGCAGGACTGGCCCTGGCTCAGCACATTGTCTGGAGCCCCCTCTTTCAACCCCTCCACATGACACCCCCCCCACCCTCGGCACAGAGCAGTGAAGTCTGGGGTGGGGGGGACATGCTGCCCACTCCACCCGCCAGTGCCAGCACCCGTGGCCAAGGTGTTTCATTGGCTGGCGGTTCTTGGCTTCACCCCTTTCCTCCCTGAGTCTGTCCTTTCCCCTGGTCAGGCCTTTACATAGCGGAGCGCCTTGGGCAATGCTGATATGTTGGTGAGCAGAGCCCTCAGGGGGAAACTGAGTCTTCCCCCTCAGACAAAGAAATGGAACGGAATCTTATTAGTTACCCCAATGCTGGCCTAGGGGGAATGACCGTTCTAGGGGAAAAAAAATCCTTCAGATTCCAACAGGTGGGGTCATGGATTCTCATGCTAGTATATTTGCTTCATGCTCTTGATGAGAACAAACCACACCATTAGCAAAATGGGATCATGTCCGACGTACATCCCAGGACATGTAGGCTTAGTGCAGGACGTTTAGTTCAAGGACAAATATTAATTAGGTCATTAATCTTTATAATGAAGGGAACGAATGTGTATTGATCATCCATCTAGTTTTGTAATGAGGCTAAGAAATATGTAACGGGCCCCTCTGATGTGCCAGACGCTGCTTGACACAATGGCCTTGCAGAGAATTTCATTCCCATTGCACACACTCCGAAACTGAGCCTCAGCGGCCTCCCAGGGAGTAGATGGCTGCACGCTGGCATGCCTCCATGCTGCTGGTTTTGAAAGGCTGCAGTAAACCCAAGATGATGGGGAAGTGGGCACTGTAAAGGCTGAGTTCAGGGAAGCAAAGTCCTTGGGTGGCACGTGCGCGCTCCCCTGTTCAATGCAGGAGTCCCGTTCCTCATGTGGTATTTCCGATGCTCGTCATCCCTCCTCTACTCAAAGATTTTACAGTTGCCTAATGCCTTTTCCTGGCAAGTGCTAACCTCTTGCTGCTCACAGTGTGGTCTACCAATGAGCAGTGTCAGCGGAGAGCTTGTTAAAAATGCCGACTCTCAGGCCTGCCCCAGGCCTACTGACGCAGAAGCCACATTGTGATAAGGTCCGCCAGGCGTTGCCCGTACCTGCTGAGGTTTGGGGAGCGCTGTGCTGGCACCATGCGGCAGGGTCTACCCATGCAGTCACCACGTTACAGAGAAGAGAACCTCAGGGCTGGGAAGGGCTCCTAGAGAATGGTGAGGGCAACTGTTTCTACAGCATGCCATTCTCTCCACGACGATCCCCTGACTGGAGTATCAGACGCTGCTTGGACATGGCCGTGGGTTTGACCTCCTTCTGAGCCCACGTTTCTGTTTTCACGTGGTTCTGCTTATGCAGTTCTCTGCCTTTGTAGAAGCACCTACTGGTGCCCGTGACTGTGGATTCGGGAGTGAACACAACAGGCCCCTTTCCGCCTCTCCGTCTTGCCCTCCCGTGGCTTGTCCTGGTACAATGGGTTTTTCTAATCCAAGTGCGGGACTCTATCTTTGCCTCTCTTAAAAATTGTCCTAATGGATTCATTTCACCACTTCTGACCATCTTGGATCCTGATTCGATCGTCATAGGTGTTTGCTGTTCCTCTCAGCAGCAGACCTTCTACAGAGCTGATTAGTGTGTTGCTTCTGAGTCTTCCCTCAGCCTGGGGCTGCGTTCTGGAAGAGAAAGCTAGAGACAGCCTTCCTAACATGTCACAGCTCCGTATTTCAGTCATCATGCCTGGCTAACCCATCACCCCAAAACTTAGGGGCTGAAAACAAGTCTGTGGTATATCTTATGGTTTCTATGGGTCAGGAATTTGGGAGAAGCTCAGCCAGCGGGCTCTGGCTCGGGTTAGCTCATGGGGCTGCAATCAGCTGTCAGCTACAGCTGCAGGGAGCTGAAGGCTTGACTGAGCCCTGAGGATCCAAGACCTAAGACAACTCATGCCCGTGGCTGGCATGTTGGTGTGGGTTGTTGGCCAGCCGCCTCCGTCCCCGACATGGGCCGGCCCGTGGAGCTGCCGCATGGCATGGTGGCCTCCACCACAGTGAGCGGTAGGAGAGGCCAAGGGAAAGCTGTAGTGATTTTAAGTCCTGGCTTTAGAAGTCACACACTGTCACTTTCACCACATTCTATTGGTCATACAGGGCCAGCCCTGAGTTGGTGTGGGAGGTGACCTATGAGGGTGTGACCACCAGGGGAAGGAGGTCTCTGGGAAGCATCTTGGAAGCTGGTTTCTGCACAGCACTGAACTGACTCTTAGATTATAACCAGTCTCCCAGGCCATCTAAATGTGTCACCACAGAGTGCTTGTTTCTGTCCCTTACGTGGACAGAAGCAGGTATTTGCAGAATTCCTCTGAAGCATCCATTCAATACCCTGTACAAGCAAGATGTCCAGCCCGCTCTCTGGGACAACATTTCTGCCCCAACTTCTACAGGACAGCATTCATTTAGCCCGAGAAGGTTCTCATGTCACCCCTTTGGGTCTCTCCTCGCAGTGGAATGCCTGCAAGCCCTTCAGCTCTTCCCTCTCGCCGTGTGAGCATTTTATTCCTAGGGGTGTGGCTCAAGATTGTTGAGTTTCAGAGCTACGTCACCCTTTTGGTTGAGATCCAAACTGATGGACAATTTAAGCCATCAGGCTGTTTTCATGCTGGCCACCACGAAAGGGCTTCCTGTTGCCCTGGCCGGTGTGACTCAGTTGGTTAGAACGTCGTTGTGTAACCAAAAGGTTGCAAGGTTTGATTCCTGGTCAGGGCACATGCCTAGGTTGCAGGTTTGATCACCAGTCCCGGTGCATATGATCCCTGGTCTCGCACCACTCGCAGGAGTGTATGGGAGGCAATGGATCAATGCTTCTGTGTCGCATGGGTGATTCTCTCTCTCCCTTCCTGTCTCTCTAAAAGCAATGAAAAAATGTCCTCAGGTGAGGATTAAAAAAGGGGGAGCTCCTTGTCCATCTCAAGCAATGGGAGGTTCCCTGTGAGTTCAGTAGCATGGGATGTGAACCCCAGGTCTGGCCTGGGGACCTTTGGAAAGTGTCTTAACATGTGTGGGTCTCAGTTTTCTCCCCTGTAAAATGGAACTACCTGTGGAATTGTAGTGAGAATTGGAATAAGAGATGGGATATCAGCACGTAGCAAATGATCGGGCTCAAGATGATCAATTTTCTTCCCTCCCCCTTCCACTGCCGTTTGATGTCTAAGCGTGAGTACATTTTCTTCTGTGTGCTGCTTTCTGGGTTTTTGTAAAAGAAGCTAAAAATACCTCTTAGGAGCGTGGCAATGATAAATATTATATGTAATGTGTGTAGAGAACATTGTGGGCCTTTTTGGAAGCAAAGGGCCATAGAAATATAATAAAGAAAAGCCTTCTTATTACAAAACTGGGCTGGGGAGTGGAGTCTTCTGAGCACTAGTGGAACATTTGAAAAGTGCAGTTTTATTACCTTAACGCTGTGCAAGTGACAAACTCAGAGGGAAATGTTCTAATAATAAAGAACGTGGGATAAGTTAATGAAACACTTACAATTCTCCTAGGTCCGTGTGGAACAATGACGTACACGAAAGGAAGGTGCTGTGTCACTTAAGACATAGAAGGTCACATTTCAGGAAACTCGTTTCTTAAAGATTCAGTTTGATTTTTTTTTCTCCTGAATTCATAGCTGATTCTATTTTCAATACAACCTTGCCATTTATAAAAGGAAAAATTATGGTAAGCACTGTACTCATGACTCATTAGTGTTTTTGTCACCGAGATTGCCTTGGGAATGATGGGTACTGGGTT